CTAATATTTGTGTGCAAATAGTAAGTATATATTAAAATCAAATTTTTACAAATCAGGTTAATCTACATGCCATAGTGTGTGTGTGTGTGTGTGTGTGTGTGTGTGTGTGTGTGTGTGTGAGTGTGTGTGTATGTGTGTATTTTGACATAGGGTTTTGCTGTGGAGCCAGGCTGGCCTCAACTCACCATCTTCCTTTTCAGCTGCATACCTGGCTAGAATATAGTGTGATTTGTATGTACCAAGTAGCAATAAATGACTGAAGAGATAAACATCTTTAGGAACAAGCAATATGGTACACAGCGCTTAAGCTTAGGCTAGGGGATGGAGAGGTGGCCCAGTGGTTAAGAGCACTGGCTGCTTGCTCTTCCAGAGGACCCCAGTTCAATTCCCAGCAACCACGTGGCACCATACAACTGTTTGCAACTCCAGTTACAGGGTCTCTGACAGCCTCACACACAGATAATGCACATGAAATAAAAATAAATAACCAGAAGAAGAGGAGGAGGAGAGAAAAGAGGAAGAAGAAGAGGAAAAGGAGGAGAAGGAGGAGATGAGACTTGCCCCAGTGCCTCAGTGCCCTAATCAGCAGGAAGTATCCAACAAGCCTGAAGCCCCTTTGCCTGTTCTTTCTCTTCCTCTTTCCTAGTGTTGGGTGTTTGGAAGGGATTGAGGTGGAGAAGGTGACAGGAGAAAGAACCCAAGAAAGTAGCCTACAGTCTGGGCACAGTTGTGAGGTGCCATGTGGTGCTACCAACCCACCTGGGTACTCGGGGAACACAGCCAGTGTTCTTAGCTGCCGGGCCCTCTCTCCAGCCTATTGTACCAGAGGCTGTATTCAAACCTGCATTGATTCTCCTGTCTCTGCCTCCCTAGCACGAGGATTGTAGGAGTATGCCACCAGCCTTCACGATTCTCTAGCGTTTGTTTGCTGTTTTCCAAGGTCTAATCAAGAAAAGCTTCAGACAAATCTAAATTAGGAGCCTGGATTCATTACCTTTCTGACTGCTATGATGAAATAACCAACAAAGGCAATCTAAGAAAGGGAGACTTAATTTGCTCACAGTTTGAGGGCACTGGCCATCACGGTAGGAAGACGTGGGAGTAGCTTGTGGTCCTGGTCACATGGAAGCTGTGGTCAGGGAGAGAGCAGTGCTTGCTGAGGCTCCAGTCTCCCTTTTACTTAGTGAAGGAAAGGTCATGGAATGCTACCACCCACGCTAGGGCAGTCTCCTAGCAGTTACCTCAGTCTAGATGTAGTCAGGGGTTTGTTTCCATGGTAATTCTAAATCTCATCAAGTTGGCCATCAAAATTAACTATCATTGGGACTTTCTTGTCAAAATCATGATTAACAAAGACTAGAAACCTGATTGGTATTCCAGGAGGACCAAAAGAAACAAAACGAAGTCTTAAAGGGAAAATGGGTTAACTCCAAATCCAGCCTGCAGTTAATCACAATGTATCAGTTAGTACTGCTTTCTTTATTTTAAGATTTATTGGATTTTGTGCCAGGAGTGGTGGCACATGCTTTTTATTCCAGAATACAGGAGTCAGAGGCAGGTGGATCTCTGAGTTTGAGGCCAGCCTGGTCTACAGATTGAGTTCCAAGACAGCCAAAGCTACCCATAGAGACCTTACCTCAAAAAAAAAAAAAAAAAAAATGGATTTTTATTTATGGGTGTATGTGTGTCTTTGTGTGTAGGAACACTTACATGTGGGGTCCGATGGAGGCTAGAAGGATGCATTAGATCCCCGAAGCTGAGTCCTTTGTAAGACCAGTGTGCACTCTATCTGCTGAGCATCTCTCCAGCTGCCTAATTAGTTTCTTAGTCTTAACAAATGTGCCTTGATCGTGTGAGGCTCTAACAGTGACTATCTTTCTGTTAGAAATAAAGTATAACCTCAACTGTTAAACAAAAGAATACAGAAACAAAGTGAAGGTAGCCCAGCATGGCAATTTCTTTAAAAAAAAAAAAGAACTAGAATCCAAACCAGGTTTGCGAGACACCTAGGCCTATAGCTGATGTTTGCTACTTTGTGGGTTCTTCTTTCTTCCACCCTTTCAACCCCCTAACACTAGATAGGAGAGAAAATAGGATAGAGAGGAAAGGAGAGAGATCCCTGAAAAAAGTCAGGGGTCAGAAAGGGGCAACATTATCCTTAGACTACTTCCTGCTGAGTAGGGCCATCAAGCTCCTTGGGGCAAATTTAACCTCTCTTTCTTTCTTTCTTTCTTTCTTTCTTTCTTTCTTTCTTTCTTTCTTTCTTTCTTTCTTTCTTTCTTTCTTTCTTTTTCTCTCTCCCTTTCTTTTTTTCTCCTTTTCTTCCTCTTGTTTCTCTTCTTCCTCTTCCTCCTTCTCCTCCTTCTTCTTCCAGACAGGATTTCTCTGAGTAGCCTTGGCTGTTCTGGACTCCATTTGTAGACCAGGTTAATCTTGAACTCACAGAAATTTGCCTGCCTCTGCCTTTGCTGGATTACAGTCATGCACCACCATGCCCAGCTTCTTCCTTTTTCTTTTCGAACAAAACTACTTAACAAACTGTGACCAACAACAACCAGCAACCAATCATGCTCAGGGCCCTAACATTTATATAGCCTCTGAAAAATTCCCAGAATTCCAAACATCACACACCCGCAGAAACTATCTGCAGCTGACAAAATAGCTCCCACCTCCTCTCCCCCACCCCCCACCCCCACCAGAATATGAGGCAAATCATAGTAAGATGCTGCAAAGCAGCCCCGTATCCCACACCCGGGATTAAACCAAAAATGTATTCTTAAAATATTTCTGTGGGTCTTTTTTTCAAGACAGGTTTCTCTGTCTTGGCTTTTCTGGGCTTTGTAGACCAGGTTGGCCTCGAACTCACAGAGATGTGCCTGCCTTTGCCTCCTCCAGTGCTGGGATTACCAGTGTGTGTGTGTGTGTGTGTGTGTGTGTGTGTGTGTGTGTGTGTGTGCGCGCGCGCGGACTTGAGCTTCAATGTTTTTTTAAGATTAGTCATTTATTTATTTTATGAGTGCTCTATCTGTATGTACACCTGCATACCAGGAGAGGGCACCAGATCTCATCATATATGGTTCTGAGCCACCATGTGATTGCTGGGAATTGAACTCAGGACCTCTGGAAGAGCAGACAGTGCTCTTAACCTCCGATCCATCTCTCCAGCCCCTATTTCTGTGTTTGTTTTTTTTGTTGTTGTTGTTGTTGTTTTTTTTTTTTTTTTAAAAAGAAACAAATATTCCAGAATTGTCACTACAGAGACCAGCATGGCTCCTGCCTTTTGTCCCTGACTTAGGTGGTGACTGAGTGTCATCTCCGTGGTAGGAGGAGCTCAACTTCACAGTCTCAAGTGCCTGGCCAATGAGTGCAGAGGTTGAGGGAGGGTCAGGAAATGTGAGCCCTTATGCGCTAACTAGATTTAACAACAAAAAAGAGTGTTTCTCATTGGTGCAGCTTTTCTAATGTTCTAAAATTATTCCAAATTTTAAAAGCTCATTAAAGAATTGTTCACCTTAGTATTTTGCCTTGATTTTTCAGTTAATACAAAATGTGAATGAATGTGTTATTTTCCAGAGAGCTCTTAACAAGGTCTTGTGTTCATGAGAGAATGACCAGCATGGGTCAACTAGTGTGGTTCTTTGCATTCATTATTTTAGAGTTTCTGTGAGTGTAAAAAGAACAACCATGAGACTGAGTGTGTAGAAATAGAACCTCAGACACAAGCCCTGAGTGACAGTGAGTTAGCAGTGTCACAGACTCTGCTGTGGCTGCAGCCTCTGACCCGGTGTAATACAGACACTGGTGTCTTCACAGGCCGGAGCCTTTGCTTCCCTCACTGTAGCACAGCGGTGGCAGAAGCAGCTGCCTGAAGATGTGGGCGAGGTGGTTACTTCTAGCACAGAGCTTGCTATTCGCCTATTAGAGGAGTTTGGGAAAAGTCGGCATTACCTATTCTACTGCTGAGAGAAATACTTTAGATCTTCCTCCACTCCCAATGATAAAACTCAGGCTCCTAAGCACGACTTATGTTTTGTTTCTTGATGCAGAGTATCTCACTCTTTAGCCCGGACTGGCTCAAACATGAGGCAGTTTTCCTGCCTTGGCCTCTTGCACACTACACCCAGCTCTTAGCGTGACTGCTAAAGCTCTTTATATTCTATGTGAGCAGCTGTATTTCCTATAGTCATTCTTTTTTAAGTGATTTGATTTATTATTTTTATTGTGAATATGTGTGTATCTTTGTGGGGTTTGTGCACATGAGTGTAGAAACTTCTAGAGACAAAAAGAGGGTGTCAGATCCCCTGGAGCTGAGTTATGGATGATTGTAAACTACTGTGGGTGAAGAGAACTGGGCACTGAGCTCTGAGGAGCAGGTGTGCCCGGAACTGCTGAGCCATTCCTCCAGCCCCGTCCACAGCCATTCTTGCTAGCCCACAACCAAGTGCACTGCCCAGAGCCTTCGTCACCCTGGTTTCCCAGCCACACAGTCTTTCCTTGGTCCCTCTTCAAGGTCCTGCTAGTCCGCCCTTTCTCCGCGGTGTCCCTCCTCACTCTCCTGTGCTGGCCCCCCTTTGGACCCTTGGGAGTGCACCTGTTGCAGTTACAATCCATCACTTTGAAGACTGTCATTTGCTTCTCCTCTAGCGTCTTTGTTTGATGACATGAAACCCAGAAAATCAAAAATGATCACATCTTTATTTTCTTATTATACTAGTGCTTGGTGCATACTTGGTGGGTACCAAACTTAATGAACTTAATAGTGGGTATTCAAATTTAACAAACTGACAGTGTGTGAGTACGAGGCCTGTGTACACTCGGAGTTGTTTTGTGGTAACTGATGGAAATTGTATGTGGTTCTTATTTGCTTAAATGTCAGTTAGTTCTTAGCAGTGAATACTGCTTGTGTCAAATCTTTTCTTTACTTCTGGCACATCTATAGAACAGGCTTGGCATGAGTCATTGAGAAATGTAATTTTGCCTCTCTGTTGTGTATTCTCCAGGTTCTAGCTGCCACCATCTCGTGCTATAACTTTTAAATTATATTTGGAAAGAAACCAGCCACAGGGGGAAAATGATCAAGTTTTTCCTTATGGTAAACAAACAAGGGCAGACCCGGCTGTCTAAGTACTATGAGCATGTGGAGATTAATAAGCGTGCCCTTCTGGAGACAGATGTCATCAAGAGCTGTCTGTCCCGATCCAGTGAACAAGTAAGTGTCTGTGCTCCCTGTTCTCTGTGGGGGCAACTCTGCCTTTACAGATTTCTTGTTGCTGTCTCAAGTGCCATTATTTTCTCTGAGCTATATTTCTTCAAAGGCTTGTGGGGGGGAAGGAAGGCTGGCTCTTACCATGCCTGTAAGAGAAGAACAAGAGGCAAACCAGGGAAGTCCTGGGTTCTTATTTAGGATTCTTGTCTTAGCACTTCACAGAAGTAGCTGCTAAATTTACTCCTGCTTGAAGACAGTCTTCTTTTTTTGTTCATATGAATTCAGCCCTTGGAACTCTCAGCAGTGTCTGCGGCTGGTGGTTTGCTGTAAGCCAAAACAGGAAGGTCAGATGACTGACTGGCATGGCAACTCGAAAACTCAAGACCCGGACGTCTGCCAGGGGATACTAATATGATTTGATGTGGATAATGATTCTTTTCTGCTTACTGTCTTTTGTAAATATACAACCGACATAATGCCAGAACAGTAATTTAAAAACAAACTTAGTTTGAACTTGGTTTTTTAATTATGTAGATAAGGGAAATGGAAGATGCCAGAACCTGGAGGCCAGATACTTTCATTAGCATAATAGAGAATGGCTTTGTGGTGCTGGGTTTGAGCACAGGCCTCCTGGCCCTTAACAGGCACATGAGCTGCCGCTCTGCTGCACTGCAGCCCCTGGTAAACATAGAGTCCATTTTTGCAAAGAACTTAGAGAATTATTTAATCTGACTCTAGCCGTCAGATGCCTTGCAGAACATTGGACAAGTGTTAAAAAGTCAGGGTCACCCATTTTTACCCCGTTCTCCATCTCACCCCCCAGAGCACTCCAGCAGCGGCAGCAGCTATCAGAAAACACCGAATAGCATCAACACTTACAAATTGCATGTCCCAAGTGTGTTTCCCTTGGCTTCCAATCAGTTTTCCAATTGCAGTCTCTCCCAGTTCCTCTTTGAATTCCTTCTTTGGCTTGCTGTGGGCACTCGACGCTCCATGGCCTCAGATGGAAACAGGAACTATTAAAGCACTGTGTTACTGCCTCATGTGGGAAGCTCGCCTCGTGTGGGAAACTCTCGGAGACGCGCCTGCAGGAGCCTTCCCGCCCAGTCCACAAGCCTGCCGTCATTTTAACAGCGTTTCCACCAGAAGGTCACCATTTGGAGTAGATATTGGCAGATCTTTTTGGAGTTCTCTAAAATTATTTTTATGTGAAAAAGAAACCACTCAACTCTTGGCATCAGGCACCAGGGTGTCATAGTATCAGCTTAGTTCCATTCTGCCCAAAGATGTTCTTGGTGTTTGTTTTGTTGTGTCAGGAGCCGTCGTTCCTCTGGCTGTACCTGTAATCCAAGCACTCAGGAGGGTCCTGAAATAATGACAGGTGTGAGCTCAGGCCATGTCAGACAGAACCAGCAGACAGAAACCCCAGGGTCGGGAGCACTGGCCCCTGCTTAGGCGCGGCTGCTCACGTCCAGCAGAACCACACAGAGGTTCGTGACTGCGCCTGGCTCCGGCTCCAGGGCTCTCCTCTGACCTCTGAGGGCCCTTGCACACATGTGCGGCATGTACATACACTCAGGCACACACATACACATAAAGTGAACTATTTAAAAACATAGGCAATTTTTAGTTCTTTCAAATAGGTGTATTTCCTTGAAATGTCCAACTGCCAGAAGTCTCCCTGGCCTACAGGGAGCCGAAAGCTACCACACAGTTCTATGCAGCTATCTGTATCCTATTAGTTTATTTTATTGCCTTGGAGTCAGAGTCTCGCTTTGTAGCCCAAGCTGACTTTGTTGGTGTGTGTGCCTCAGCCTTCCCAGCACTTACATCACAGCCCAGTGCCACCTGACTTGGCACTCTAATTTTATTTTGAGTTTATTTATGTCATTGTATCTATTTATTTATATTTGTTTTTTAAATTTAGGGCAGGTCCACATTCTGGATCCTGGGTATCCATCCCATCAATTTGAGATAACCTTGTCTAGCCTTGCATTAAAGGCATGAGCCACCATGCTTAGCTCACTCCTACTTCTCTATTAAGCCCTGAAATTACTCCATGGTATATAGACTGCCCAGAACCCTTCCCTTGGAGGGATTTCCTTACTCAAAACATACAGCTTCATGCCCAGGTACATTGTGTGCCCAAGAGCAAAGCCACCAAGTTCGTGCTCGGCTCCATTTGGCCAAGCACAGACTGACACTGAAGACTTACACTGTGCCTGCAGCCTTCCTTCTACTTCGGGCAGCCCTATGTGCAGACACTGGAGAAGACAGAAAAGTGAGAAAGCAGTTGTTTATCTATAGATCAGGAGTTGTAAGCTAGTTGCTAATTCATAGGAAGCAGTTTTTACAATGGAAAATCTTGTCCAGCATCTGCAGCACAAAGACCACATAATCTATAAAATAATCTGCATTTATTCTTTTCATGCATCTAGGATAAAGAAGTTACATCTATGTAGATGATGGATGGATGGATGCTAGATTGCTTGTGCTGGTCTCTCCATGACCATTAGACAGGACAGAACTGAACAGTTGTAACTGCTCTCAAGAATTCACAGACGGCATGGTGTTTATGCATGCTCACATTAAAGCACTTTCAGCTGCTAATTACTTGTTAGCTTTGCTTGCTGAGCTCCCCAGGGAGCCAAGAAAGTGAATGAAAGAGAGGCACAAGGGTAAGCCGTGTCATCACTCAGACTTTTTCCAAGACTGCACTTCTTCCTCCTAGAGGTGCTTCTAGTAAACCACTGGATGTTGTCAGAGCCTGCAAAGGCTGTTTGATATTTTAATGCCTTAATGTAATGTCTACATTTCTAGGGGTGTATTGGCAGATTCTTAAACCGTAACCTAGGGATTATGTGTGCTGTTTGAAGACACCTCTGTCAACCAGACATTGATGTCTAATTGTCTTTCATCTAGTGCTCCTTCATTGAATATAAGGATTTTAAGCTGATCTATCGGCAATATGCAGCTCTCTTCATTGTGGTTGGAGTTAATGATACCGAGGTAAGATGCCAGAAAAGCCTTAGAAGATGCAAGACTTTTATTCTTCTTAGGTTGGAGTTTCTTTCCTACTTGCTCCCCAAGAATGAGGCAGCCTCTTTCAGAGTGTCTGGGTCTCAGTGGCCGTTGGTTAAGGTCAGGAGTGGAGCTCATGCTCTGATGTTTCAGTTTGGCCAGATTCATCATGACCTGAAAGCCTTAGAGGTTGAGGTTTTCTGTATTTCCTTCTTTAATCAGCATCTGTACTTTTGTTTCTTTTCTTTTCTCTTCTGTTTTAAGACTGTGTCGTGTAAACCAGGCTGCTGGGATTACTGGCATGTACCACCATATTTAGCTTATGTGATGTGGGGGGCTAAGCTCAGGGCTTCATGCATGCTAGGTGGCCTCATAGATAAGGTCTCTACATCCTTAGCCACAGCGTGTCTCTACACAAGCCGTCACAGAGCCTTTGCGCATCAGTGACCAGGACGCTGCTCTAATACCTCGGGATGCACTGGGCATGGTAAAATTAATTATACCTTTTTTTTTTAATTTCAGAATGAGATGGCTATTTATGAGTTCATACACAATTTTGTGGAAGTTTTGGATGAGTACTTCAGCAGAGTGGTAAGTCTAATGGCTAAAAAATGGTCTTAACCCAGTTGTTCAGAAATTGAGTCCTTTGGGTATATGTCAGTATTATGTGTTAATATAATTAATGGACTTGGATTACCATCCCTTATTGCTCATCATAGGTTTTACAGACTTGTGTGTGAACTAGGGCTTCATGAAAAAGCCTATTTTAGTTTGCTTCTGTTGCTAAACACCAAGCAATCTAGGGAGCTTATACCTCTCATGACTAAGGAGAGCCAGGGCGGGAACCTGGAGGCAGGATCTGACGCAGAGGCCATGGCGGGGAGCTGCTGACTGGCTTGCTCCCTGTAACTCGCTCAGCCTACTTTCTTATACAACTCAGAACCACCTGCTGAAGGATGGCATGTGCATGCACTCGAGCATGTGTGCTCGCACGTGTGCACACACACACACACACACACACACACACACACACACACACACACCCCTTTGGACCAGGCACCCCCACATCAATCATTAACCAAGAAAATCCACCAAAGGCTTGTTGAAAATGGAAGCATTTTATCAATTGAAGTTCTTCCAAAATAATTCTAGTTTATGTCAAGTTGACAAAAACTTTTTTTTTCTGAAATAAATATTTTATTTCATTAAAAAAATCAGTATTTTCATGATTAGAGTGAACAAATATTGTTTGAGTTCATCATTTCTGGTTTACATTGCAAATGGTTTCCATAATATGCGTCTTCCTGACTCACTATTTGCCTACATGCTTGCGGGAGTAGTCTTTTCTTGGTAGGAACTCCGGTTCTTCTGAATTCTTCCCTTTCTTTGAGATACTCCAGTTTGTATTCTTCATAGAAGGCTGGATCATTATAGTAAGCAGTTAGACAGTCTTTCAATGCAGAATTTTCTTTCCGGCATTTTACTACCATAAGGAATCCAGAGTCCTTGCAACATCTGGTAAAATCTTCAACTTGTTCAGAACACCGTTTTTTGGCCTTTTCTCTCATCATCCTTGGGATCAGAATATCTTTTTCAATATGTCCAAGATGTTGGTCTGTGGGGTCCAGTGCCATATCGGAGGGCGGAGAAGAAGCAGGCCACTGGCGGGCTCCGTGGGTAGAGAGGGAAGTTGACAAAAACTTAAGCAGCACAAAGCGACCCTCAGAAAACCATGTCCTTCTAAGCACTCTACTGCCCAATAGGACATTTTCTTCTCACTTGCTGTTTTTACATTCCTTTTGCTTTCCTTCCTAAGAGTACAGAACCTTTTTACTTTAAGAATCATTTCCAGCCAGACAGTGGCGGCACACCTTCAATCCCAGCACTGGGGAGGTAGAGGCAGGCGGATTTCTGAGTTCATGGCCAGCCTGCTTTACAAAATGAGCTCCACGTCAGCCAAGGCTAGACAGAGAAGCCATGTCTCGAAAAAAACAAAAAACAAAAACAATCATTTCGACGCTAGCCATGTCAGTACACACCTGTACAACCCCACTCAGGAGAGAGGACACAGGATCGGGATTCCAAGGTTATATAGCCTTTGAAGACATCACAAATTCAGACCAGCCTATCAAGAGAAGACTGTCTCAAAGCGAAAGTGGGGGTGGGGGCATGCCGGAGAGACAGTTAAGAGCACTTGCTTCTTGCAGAAAGCATGGGGTTGACTCCCAGCACCCGAATGGACGCTACACAGTCCTCCTCTGTCCTCACGGGCTCCAGGCACACATGGAGTACACGTGTGGCACACAGACATGCACGTAGACAAAACACCTGTAACACGTGACTAAATAAAAGAAGAAGGAGACCCATTTCCACCTGCACCTTTGCTTTACTGGGCAAAAGTCAATTTCCCTTTAGGAAATTTCCTTTTTTAGAAGGAAATATAATTCGTATACCACAGCATTTTCCCACTGAGAGGATAGAATGGTGTTTTAGTGTTTACAGTCTTAGAACTCTCACCACAGTTGTTTTAGGGAAATCGCAGTCCGGGACAGATAAGCATATTCCTTAGCGTTTCCCCTATGACCCACAAGCTAGTCCAGGCCTTAGATAACCACTGGTTTGTCTCCAGAGCTGGCCTGTTGTAGATGGTCACAGAAAGGGACCTGCATGTTGTGGATTTCTGCAGCTTGTCTCGCATTTAGCATGATGTTTTCAAGATTCACCATGTTGTAGCAGTGTCATTACTCCTTTCTTCTTTATTAATAAATAATATTCTGCTGTGTAGATATACCACGTTTTTAATCAGTTTGACACTGATGGACATTTAACTTATTTTCAGTTTGGGACTATTATGAATGGTGCTGTTATAAACATTTTTGTCACAATTTTGGACAGATTCACTTTTTTTTTTTTTAATTCTAAAAGAAAAAAATCTTGGCATGGTAGTGCACCCCTTTAATCCTAGCACCCAGGAGGCAAAGACAGATGAATCTCTGAATTTGGGACCAGCTTGGTGTACAGAGAACATTCTAAGACAGCTGGGGCTACAGGGAAACCCTGTCTCAAAAAACAAACAAAGCAAAACAAAAGATCAAAAACAGCCAGCCAGAGGCACATACCTAGACCTTGTCTCTAAATAAATTAATTACATGAATTTTTTTTGCTCAGGCCTGGGAGAATAATTCTTGGTAGTAGGTACCATCTTAAACTGGCAAACTGTTTCCAGTGTCTGCATTATTTACATTCCTATTAGCAGGGTGATTATTCTGATTTTGGATTTCTCCATGTCCTCACCAAATCCTATCTGTTTTCCTTTCCTCCCTCAATTTTTGAGATACAGTCTCACTATGTAGCCTGGGCTAGCCTGGAACTCACTCTGTAAACCAGCCTGCCTCTGCCTCCTGAACACTGGTGTTAAAGGTGTGTGCCGCCGTGCCATCCTACTAAGTATGAAGTGAATTAGAGGTCTTTGGAAAAATGTTTGATCCTTTGCTCAGCTTTTAATTGCATTAAGGATTTATGAATGATGACCAGTCAGTCTATGCTTTTTCCTGTCGCTTATGTTTTAGTGCCATGTTTAGAAAGTTACATACTTGTTTGCTTTCTAGCGTTTTATAATTTTAGTTTCTAAATTTGTCTCTCATCCACTTTAAGTAATTTTTATGTTGTGAGTTATTAATCATCTTGATGCATTCTGTTGTTATTTTATTTGGAGGGATGTATAGCTCGAGGCTGGAATTCCTAACCCCCTGCCTCTGCTTCCCAAAGGCTGAGATTGCAAGCACACACCACCACTCATTTTTGCTTGCATATATCTACCTGTCTAGCAGTTGCTGAAATAACTGTCCTTCTCCCATCCATGACTCTCTTAGCTCCTCACTGAGATCTGTTAGTAAGCCTGAGCCAGGCATGGTGGTGCACCTGTGTGGGAGAAGCAGAAAGATCAGGTGTTCAGGGCTGTCAGCTGCATGGCAAGTTCAAGGCCAGCCTGGCATATATGAGACCCCCATCTCAGCAACAAAACACAGTAGATAGACAGATAGATAGATAGATAGATAGATAGATAGATAGATAGATAGATAGACAGATAAATGACAAAAGGTTTATTCCTGGACTCTCATTTCTACCCCGTTGAACATAGTGCTGCTAGTGCCATGTTCTCCTGGCTGCTGAAGTTCTGTAGTGAATTGGAAGCAAATGCTGTAGTCTTTTAAACCGAAATCTGTGGAGATGGCTGGTATTATTACAACCATTAACTACAGTGCCTCCTGTGTCCCAGGCGACCTTCAACTTCCGGTCTCCTCCTGCCTCTCTGCCTTTATCTCCTGGGATTAGAGAAGAGTCCCACCATGCCCAGTTTGCCCAGTACCAAGGGTTGAAGTAGGGCTTTGGCATGCTGAACGCTCTACCAGCTGAGCATATCCCTAACCTGCTGTTGCCTGAATCTGCTTACTTCATCCTGCCTTTATGTAGAGATCAGTGAGGAGCTGCTCCACAATGCTGCTTCCGAGGCAGTGAGCGGGTGCTGCTTCGTACAGAGCATTAACACCAAGAAGGCCACACTTATGTGTAGAAGCACTGTCTTTTGGGGTGTGGTGGTGCTGAACCCCAGCATGTGAGAGGGAGAGAGGCAAGAGAATCGACAGGGAGTTCAAAGGCTTTCTTCATTACATGGTGGATTAGAAGCCAGCCTAGACAACATATGACTTGTTCAAAATGAACAACGAAGTTGAGTCTCTAATTCAGTTCGTGTGGCCTGGGGTGAATTTTAGAAGCTCTTCCTGGGGAACTAGCCAGTTCTCATGGCCTCCATGCAGTGGCCTCCATGCAGTGAGCCACAGAGTCAGGCACGTTGACCAGCAGTATAAACTGGGGATTTGCAGGAAATCCAAGCTCTGGGCCCCCCGCAGGCCAGGGTCAGAACTTTTGACTGCGTCCCCCAGTCTGTCTTTCCAGGCCTTCCAGTGATTGTGACGCCTGTGACCTTATGCGTGGGGCTTGCCTTCAAGCTCCTGCTTCAAGAGATGGAGCTTGGAAGATGGCTCCTGGCCTGTGAAGACGATAGTTTCCAGAATGTGTTAAAGCAGAGAAAATAAATGGAGGCTCAGACACTGCTGCTATAGGGTTTTAACTTACTGTTATATCCACTCACTAAAAATATGCACATGCAGAGTCATAGATGTAATTTCAGGGAGAGAGTTGGTGACTGTGTGAACCACGGAAGTCAAGACCAACCTAACTACACCAGGTGACAGCGTCATGCTGGCACTGCACCGGGGATGGCCCTGGCCAGGATCTAACCAGCGCAGAGAGATAGCACGAGGGAAGAGCGTGAGAAGAAGCAAGGACCCGACCCTCACCAGGGGCTCTGACAGCTAAGATTCATTTTTAGCAGTGTACATTTTGAGCATTCTTTCTGGGCTATTTTTAATCTTATGGAGTTTCAACATCTTAAATTTGGAAATGGATTTCATGCTGTTGCACCGAGAGAAAAGCATGTCAGTGTCATATTTTCAGAAACAAAAGCCAAACCAGTCGGATTCTGGAGGTTCCCAGTGAGCTCAGCTGCTGTAGGGAGAGGCAGCAGGGCTTCCTGTCCCTCCCTACCACGTATGATCTCATTTCCACTTCCCCTTGCCTCCTCAGAGCTATTTTATTGACAAAAATCAGTACAGCTAAGCAGGGAAACGCTGGCCCCGTGGCATTACCCGTTTGCTGAGACTCAGACTGTACATTGTCAGAGTGAGCCTCGGGCGGCTGCTGTGAGAGCAGCCTGTCACGAGAAGAGCAGCAGAGTGCTCCTTGCTGTGCCCAGACAGCCGGCCAGACTGTGAGCGGGAGGAGCTTCTGTACCTTCGTCCCGACTTCACTGTGAGCCTGAAAGTGCTCTTCAGACGGAATGCTTTCAAGATTGGTGGGAGAGCACCAGCTGGGCCAGGACTCAGGGACCTCTTCACTGAGGTGCATGCCCTTGAGACCTAACGCACCCTCCTGTGACGTTGAGCAGGTGGCTGTATACCTCTGTCCTCAGGATAGCTGACAAAGCTGGGAGGTGGGCTCTAGGCCCCCACCACGCACAGCCTTGTGGGTACCAAATCCCCACAAGCTTAAGTCCCTTGTGTGTAGTGGTTGGTGTCCGTGTACAGCTGACACATGTTCCCGTACACCCATCTAAGTGGCTGAGAGCACCTAGCATGGAGCAAGTGTGTATGAATAGTTGGCAAGCCTAAGAAATCATGGAAGAGTGGAAAGAATATATGTTCAGTGCAAGCACAGTTTGTTCCAAGTATTTCACAGAGTGCTTGGTTGAATTAATGAAATTCAGAATACAGAGGACTGATCACATACCACTTTTTACTATTAGGAAATTTTGTGGTGTGGAGATCAACCCTAGGGCATTAAAACGTCAAATGTGCACTGAACCCCGAGCTACGTCTCCAAGGTTGCCATCGCTTTTGGTAACCTGCATTTTACTTAGCAGCTTGCTAGTAATTAGACGTCTACATCACTGTTGATGGCTCTAATTGACTAAACTGGTCCCTTCTTCGTAGTTGCTTGGATTATTATCAATAGTTCGCTATTATAAAAGCTTCACTCTATCTGTCCTATCACTACTCCCAGCTTCCTTTACACAAATTCTTGAAGTAAATCAATGGATGCAAATCCTGTGGCTAAGGCTTCTGATATGCGTGCACACCATCTACAAAGGTTGAGTTGGTTATTATTCTCCACATGTTTTGTTTGTTTCTGTTTTTGTCTGGTGCTTGGAGAATCTTACCCTGTTAGCTCAGGAAGGTCTGAGGCTGTTGCAATCCTCCTGCTTCAATTTCCCAAGATTATAGGCATGAGCCACCAACCCTGAGCCTCTCTACTCTCTGACCTCAAAAGTTCCTCTAAGTGCAGCTGTCTTTTCCTTCACCTTTTTTAAAATCCCAGTGTCCAGCTCAGGGCCCCCGCTGGGGCTCCCGCAGGTTTGGAGCCCCAGCAGCTGCCCCCGGGCTGGCCGCAGAGCAGGGCTGTCTGCGCAGATGACGGTGCTGTCTGAGGGCCTCTTCTCACTGTGTGTTCTTGTTTTCTTTTTCAGAGTGAACTAGATGTATCCTTTTCGGTACCTTTTCTCATGATATGTGGCAAAGCACACTCAGGGCCTGACCAGGTAAGCGCCACCATGCAGCAAGATGACTTGGCAGAATCCAGGGCACTCTTCACCTGCAGGTCTGCCAAGGCCGCCCGCAGCACGGGGTTCCCAGAGCCCCCTGCCTTCCCTTCAAAGGCAGTGCTTCGTAAGGTTCCCTTTCCTTTTTCTCCAGACAAAACGCTGAGGCGGTGATATTTAAAAATAACATTATATGGGCCTGCACAGATGGCTCCAGAGGGCACAGGTTCAATTCCCAGCACCCACATGGCAGCTCACATCTGCTAGAATCCAGTTCCAGGATTTCTGACACCCTCAACAGACATACATACAGGCAAAGTGCCAATGCACATGAAATTAAAATAAATTAGATATTTAAAAAATAGCTGTTATACATTGGCCTAACTTCTCATATCAGATTTGTTCACAATGTATATCCCACAAATGAAGTGCTTGATTTTCACGGAGACTGAACTTTCAGGCCTCCCGGACAAATCCTCAAAAATGGCCTCATGGACAGAAGGGGGCATTGTAGGAGAGGACCTGGAGGGTTAAAGATGTTGCCTAGCTTATGTTCATTTTTTTTTATAGCAGAGAAGGCTCATTTCTTTCTTGGTTTTTAATCAGAACTGCAGATATAGCCCGATGCAGAACACCTGCCTTGTATATCTTCAGCTTACTCAGTCCCAGCACTTCCACCAGAATAGCCACGCCCAGGGCCAGGCGTGGGCAGGCACGCACCAGGCCTTCTTAAGTCCCAGACTATCATGTTTAACATCTAAGATGATTTCTCTTCAAAACTCTGCCTGCTTTGAGGCTGGAGAGATGGCACAGTGGTTAGGAGGGCTCATTGTTCCCAGAACTTGAATTTGGCTCCGGGCACCCTTCAGGCAGCTCGCAATCACCTGTCACTGCACTCCCAGGAGCGCCAGCGCCCTCTTCTGGAATCCACAGGCACCTAACCACATAGGGCACACACAAATGCACCTAATGCCGGACATGGTGGCGCACGCCTTTGATCCCAGAGCTCAGGGGACAGAGACAGGCAGATCTTTGTGAGTTTCCGACCATCTTGGTCTACACAGTGAGTTCTAGGCCAGCCATTGTTACACAGTGAGACGCTTTCTCAATAAATAAATAAATAAACAAACAAACAAATAAATAAATAAACTCACATTTTACTTAAACATATAAACATTTTACTTCAAAATATGCTTATCACTTGAAAGTGATAGAGATATCTTTTGAAAACATCAGGCTTAAATGTAAACTAATTCCAAGTTGTGATTTATGTATAACACAGATAACATGAGCATGTTCATATGTGTGTGTGTCTATGCATGATGTAGAGTAGACACGGCTGTTGGAGTCAGTGGACTGCGTCGTCGGTCTCTTCCCACAGAGCCCCTTACCCTTTGCTGCTGCTCAGGACCAGTCATGTTCATAACATTTATTTGGAGACCTCTTTTTAAGTCAACTGTGGAAAGAAGCCCGAAGAGGGGCATCAGGGTCCCAGGAAGTCTCAGGAAGCCCCTTGCAGAGGCTGCCCTCCCCGAGCCTGTGAAGGCTGAGGCGGTCTGCCCTGAGCTGAGAACAACGGCATTTACCACTCTCCTCAGTACCTGCTGACTACTCTGCTTCCTGCTCAGACTTCGAAAACAAGACAGGTGGGATTTAAACAGAAATGACCCGAGCACGGGTGATCAGTTCAGGAATCCCTCTTTCCAGTATGTGGAAGCCCTCGCTGTAGTGGTGTCCCCTTAAGACTGAGCACCTCGGTGACCTCAGTCACCCCTTGGAGAAGGAGCACCTCTTGGCATCCTTCCCCACCTTCCCCACTTCCCCCAGGGCTGCTGTTGCGGAAGGCCTATTTCCATAGAGAAAGTTTACCCCATTACATAGCTTGCTGGATTTACCGAAGACTTCAAATTTCATGAAGATTGTTTAGAAACCAATTGATGAGCTTCCTCAAACATGTGCAGCCTTGAGCCCTGAACAGTTCAGAATTCACAGGTGCTGTCTCCGCCCAGCTGCTAAGCGATGGATTGCCGGCTCGGGGACAGCACCAGGTGAAAGAGTGCCAGCCCCTCGGCGCTGTGCACCTATTATGCACATAAAGGCATAGGAAACTGTATTTGGTCCTTAAGCAGAAAGCGTTGCAGACTTCCTCTCTAGATTAGTAGAGAGCGCTTGCCTGGCTGCACAGGCCTTGGGCTTGATTCCCAGCACCGAGCAACTGCTTTGATGCGGCAAGAATGGGACATAACACTCCCTATGCCCAGGTGACTGAGGTCATCCTCCAGGGCCTTCCCTTTGAGGACACCATTCTGAGTCTTTCAGCAGTATGCCCTCTGATACAGTGCTCACCTGGCACTCACAGGCCTCCCATCTGTGCGTGTGCATCATGCTGGAAAGTTAGAAGGCAGAGGGCTCCTTCCAACTTCACTTGGGTCCCAGGGATTGAACTACGATTGCCAGGCTTCGTGGCAAGTACTTCTATCCACTTAGCCGTCCAACAGTCCTGCTCTTTGTTGGTTTTTTTGTTTTTGAGACAAGGTCTCCTGTAGTCCGGGCTTTTGTCAACTTCTCTCTCTATATGGCTGGCCTTGGCGTGCAGTATGCTGGATTAGCCGCCTGTATCACCTGGCCGCATTTGCGTCTAAACTGCCTTCTAGTATCCTGGGTGCCCAGGCCTTCTAGAGTCTGCTGCTGGGCTACCAGAGGATCTTCTTCATTCACCTCCTGTCAGTCCTGGGAGCAGAAGGCAATAGATATTAGGAGGGCCGCTGCGATGCCCATCTCCATACCCAGGAAGAAAATCCAGAGGCTGCCTGGTGCCCCTCACTCATGTATCCTCTTAGGCTCCCTCATATACATAGGAGGGAGTCCCAGAACCCAGGGGGTTTTGGTTTGGACCCTCTTTAGAGATCTAAGCATGAGGACACACTTATCCTGGTACTTGGAAAGATAAAGTCCAGAGCCACCTTGGTCCTGTGGACCGAGGTTCAGTGGATAGATAGATGGATAGATGGACAGACAGACAGATGTTTTTTTTTTTTTTTAAGATTTAATTTATTTATTTATACAGTATTCTACCTGCATGTGTGCCAGCAGGCCATAAGAAGTCACGAGATCTCATTATAGATTCTTGTGAGCCACCGTGTGGTTGCTGGGAATTGAACTCAAGACCTCTGGAAGAGCAGCCAGTGCTCTTAACCTCTGAGCCATCTCTCTAGCCCCAGATGGTTCTTTAGAACATGATTTTATTTTATAAACCCTTAAAGACCCAAAGCCACTGCCTCCCGCCTTCCAGGGCCACTGTGGGTTTGCAGAGGCACCTGTTTCATGCGTTGCTACCACTGAGTTTGGGTCATAATGGCGTCAGTGTTGTGCAGGCTCTGAGTCTGCCACCATCTAGCACAGCACATCCCTACAAGATAACAGCACACAGGCCAGCCAGATCCGCGACCGCCAGAGAACTCCCGCAGGTGATGATCTCACCAGATGGCATGTGAACTGCAACGCCATTGGCTCAAACAAGGGACCGCGGCGAGAGTGGCCAGGAGAGCAGGCATCACAGTGAAGGCTCAGCTTCCCAGTGAGCTGAAGCCTTCGGCGTTTCTCCAGCTTCCCAGCCAATACCGAGAATCTCCCGAAAGAGCATTCCCCTGAGATCGGGATGTGAATGACACAGGTCTGCCTCCAGCCTCTTCTGATTGCCATAGCCTTCCACTTTTGTATCTCCTTTATGTTTGTGTTTAGTTAGTTAGTTAGGAGGTGGGCAGAGTCTGCAGCATAGGCTGGCCTGGAAATTGTTATCTAGCCCAGGCTAGCTCCAAACTTACGGCAGCCTCCCAAGTGATAGGACTACAGTGTGAGCCACCACATCCAGCTCTTGGCTTTCAGTGTGGGTCTTGGAGGTCCCAAGGCATACTATTCTTCTGCTGCCATCTCCCCACCCCCCTGCTTCACCTGCTCCTGCCTCACCTACTCACTTTGTCCCTTGTGTCTCGATTTCTCTTCCTTCCTTCCTTCCTTTCTTTCTTCTCTTTCTTTCTTTCTTTCTTTCTTTCTTTCTTTCTTTCTTTCTTTCTTTCTTT